TGAAGTTAACAGACTGTTGCCGGTCTGCAAGGTATGAGTGAAACCACTGCAAGGCTGCATCGTGCACTCCCAAAGAGTGCAAGCGACTGATCAGGATGCTGTGATCTATGGTGTCAAATGCTGATGACGGATCGAGAAGCACAATTAGCGCCATTACTTTGCCAACATCCATCTGTCGTAGGATGTGATCGCGGACAGATGAACAAGTAATGTTCCTACACTATGGTTCTGACGATATGGTATAGGGTCCAAGTCACATGATTTGGATGGGGATTTGAAGATGACAGTGCGAATCTCATCTTGAGAGGCGAAACGGAGACTGGTCAGTGTAGTTTGTGTTGGTGGGTACGTGGGGGTAGAAGTATCTGTATCTGGCACAAGGGGAGGTAGTGCATCACGAATCAAAGAAATCTTAGACGTGAAAAAAACGCTGAAATGGTCAGCCAGTGACTTGTCGGAATTATACTTAGGTAAAGAAGATTCCTTATTCCTATGGAGAAGCTTGTTGGAGGCAGGAAACAGTTGTTTTTGATCACCGGAACACTAGGTGACTATTTCTGAGTAATGGGTTCTTTTGGCCTTACGGATCAGCGAGATCACATGCTGGCATTGTTGGTGATGTAGTTGGCGGTCAATCTCGAGTGAGGATGCATGCCACCTGTGCTCAAGCTGTCTTCATCTGTGCTTAGCTTGGAACAATCAGTGTACCAACCAGTGTCGGGCCGAATAGTGACACATCGGGACTTGACTGGTGCAAATGTATCCAAGAGTTGAGACAGTATGAAGTTGTAACTGTCGGCTGCCTCGTTGACATGGCAACACTGCATTGGGCCGACAGATGGTTGCCTTCAATCTCAGTGCACAAGAGATTCAAATCAATGCTGTTGAGATTGCGATGGATAACCATGTCTCACAGATACCAATGATATCAAGATGATTTTCAGAAACTAAATCAAGAAGTTCTGTTGTCTTGTTCCGAATTGACCGGGCATTAATCATGCAGAAGGTAGTGTCTAGCTTGAGTTTATGAGGGTTTAGATCTCACAGACAGGTCGCACTAAAAAGCGTCAACACAGCGTCAACACAGCATCAACACATGACAGAAGCGTCAACACACTGTCAACACATCCAAAACACATTCTGAATTGACCAAAAAAGGTATAGAATGGCAAAGCATAGAATAAAACAGAATTTCAACTGGATTGAGTTTCGATTTAGTTGTTAAAAATATAGTGTTTTCACGCGAAAAAATTACCTTTAACTTGCGCAGCCATTGTCCGCCATCTTGACTTTGCACAAAGCTTTGATTATACCATTTCAAGTAGGGGTGTGTACGTTATGACATTACAACAGAGGGCGCCTTGATGCAGAAGGATGCACTCTGATCTGTGAGGGACTGAGGGACTGAGGTTTATTGAACGACGCTCTCACCCTTTAGCATAATGGAATGGTTCGTGCTGCCACTGAGGCAACATGGCAGCCGATCTCGGAGTGGCACGGAGAGGTAATTTACTTGAACTGAAAATTGCAATTTTCAGACGTTTAACCTATTGATTGTTAAGCTAAAATCTTGTTTCTGTCCATACTGTATGGGTTACATACTGCTTTTGTCACTTTTAATGCATTTAGGATGTGTTGACGCTGTGTTGACGCTATGTTGACGCTATAGTATGACAGTCACAGACTGATGTGGATAAACCAAGTTTTGTGTGCATTTACATACTGGGCTGGTGAATTTTGATTGAAGTATTCAGGGTGATGGGGTCCGTCTTGACTTGATGTGCGATTTCCAATTACAATGGGCATGTCAAAGTTGAAGTAAGTCGATCGGCGCCTACGTATCCCAGCCTTGCATCCACAATGAGTGCGCCAAAAACAACAGGTGCCAGTGATCAGTCCAGAAGATTTGGATGGTGGATGGATTGGACATGTTCTGGGTCCAATATCACTGCAGATTTCAGCAGCAAGAGGACATGGACGGCAAAGATCGGGTCCATTATTGAAGGAGTACAGGTGTATTGGCGAATATCTGCCTCGCTGGGATGAAGCAGGAGCCATTGAGGAGTCCATTGGCAGATGCAGTGGCATTGTTGAATTAAATGGGAGACAACATTGGTTCATTAGCATATCAAGTGCTCCACTGGTGCTGGAGGAACATCCAATTGTTACCAGCAGAAGGTGTGATCTACTAGTCACAAAAGATACCTGACGTCTTGGTGCGCAGAAAAACTGCTAAAGCCCCAAATGCACAGGAAAGGAAGGAAAAACTCCCTTAAAATGCTCCCAAACCAGATGATGTTACATATATTCTGGCTCACCATGTTGATCAGTTTGCGCTAAAGTTCAACTTGACATGAAGACATGACTGGAAACACCGCTAAGAAAGAGGAAATCAGTACATTGGTGGAGAGCATGATGAGGAGCCGCCAGTTAGTAGCGCTGCACTCTATAACATTACTCAGGTCAATACAACAATCAACAGCCACACAGTAGCCACAGCTGTTTGACAATGCCTGCCACTTGCATACAATACTTTATCAAGTCAATACAACAACCAACAGCCACACATTAGCCACAGCTGTTTGACAATGTCTGCCACTTGCAGACAATACTTCATCAGGTCAATACAACAATCAACAGCCACACAGTAGCCACAGCTGTTTGACAATACCAGCCACTTGCAGACAATACTTCATCAGGTCAATACAACAATCAACAGCCACACAGTAGCCACAGCTGTTTGACAATGCCTGCCACTTGCAGACAATACTTTATCAGGTCAATACAACAATCAACAGCCACACAGTAGCCACAGCTGTTTGACAATACCAGCCACTTGCAGACAATACTTTATCAGGTCAATACAACAATCAACAGCCACACAGTAGCCACAGCTGTTTGATAATACCAGCCACCTTGCAGACAATACTTTATCAGGTTAATACAACAATCAACAGCCACACAGTAGCCACAGCTGTTTGACAATACCAGCCACTTGCAGACAATACTTTATCAGGTCAATACAACAATCAACAGCCACACAGTAGCCACAGCTGTTTGACAATGCCAGCCACTTGCAGACAATACTTTATCAAGTCAATACAACAATCAACAGCCACACAGTAGCCACAGCTGTTTGACAATGCCTACCACTTTCAGACAATACATTCATCAGGTCAATACAACAATCAACAGCCACACAGTAGCCACAGCTGTTTGACAATGCCTGCCACTTGCAGACAATACTTTATCAGGTCAATACAACAATCAACAGCCACACAGTAGCCACAGCTGTTTGACAATGCCTGCCACTTGCAGACAATACTTTATCAGGTCAATACAACAATCAACAGCCACACAGTAGCCACAGCTGTTTGACAATGCCAGCCACTTGCAGACATTATTTTATCAGGTCAATACAACAATCAACAGCCTCACAGTAGCCACAGCTGTTTAATATCAGCCACTTACCAACTTGGATCCAAACAAAACTGTCCTTGTTGCAAGAGGGCGCAATTTTGTTTCTTTATATTTAATATTCATTATAAATTTTTGTTTGTCAGTGACGTGTCCCAGAAACCAAAACTATTTCTTAAGTCGAACCTGGTTTGTGACAGTCATCAAATCCTTGGATACAAAAAGAGGGGCCAATCATCACCAAGCAACTACGGACCAGTTTCCCTCACGTGGGTAGCCTGCAAATTACTGGAACATATCTTTAATCACTTGTGTGAAACCCAACTCATAAACACCATGGAAGAAATCCATCGACACCGAGATCAAAATAACAAAGATGTGCAGGTGCTTGACTTCAGCAAAGCATTTGACACTGTAGCCCATGAGAGATTACTTCATAAAATAGAACACTACGAGATTAGAGGTAACACCTTGACATAGATCAGAACATGGTTAACCAACAGAACCCAACAAGTAGTTGTAGATGGAGAAACATCAGCCCTACATCAATTACATCAGGAGTACCCAAATGACATTGGTGACAACATTAGCAAAGACACCAAAATCAAGTTATTTGCTGATGACTGCCTACTATTCCGACACATTGCTAACTTCAATGACCAACAACAACTCCAAAAAGATCTGGATAGCCTTGTGAGCTGGTCTCATCAATGGCAGATGTCATTTAAGCCACAGAAATGTCACACCCTACATATGACAAGAAGCAAAAATCATCATGATAATATCTACAGATTGATGAATGCCAACCTTTCTGTTGTACCCAACCATCCATACCTTGGAGTTGAAATTCAAAAAGATTTGTCATGGTCTCTTCACATCAATCAAATAGCAAGCAGAGCTAATACAACACTTGGTTTTGTGAGCCCATGCCTCCAACACTGCAGAACAGTCAGCAGGCTCACTATGCTTTACCGCTCCATCCATGAAGAAATTGCCCTTAACATCCCTTATTACATCACCCCAGTAGAACGACCACAAAGAAATAGCCATAATCAGTGCTACGCTTCCTTGCAATGCCGCACACAAGCGTACCACAAAAGTTTGTTCCCAAACACGACTGAAGACTGAAACGGGCTCCCAAATGATCTTATTCATCAAACATCATCGTCCCAATTTAAGATATCCCTAGGAAAAACATCTTGCATCACAACCTTAATTTCACGCTTGCACGGCACCGGCGTGAAGTCAAACTGCATGATGATGCCTAGCGGCGATATCCAGTCAACTTTCTGAAATTCTGTCATCACATTCTTAAATTTGTTAAAAAGTGTAATGTCATGATTCAACCATCCTTTTTTACCAGACTACCTCTCGAACTGAATTGACATTGCATGACTGGACATGGCGTCGTGTTATCGTCACCTGGGGGTACAAAGACTCAGGGTCAATAGAACAGAAATCAAGCAGAGGATATGAACCAAAAACTGTTCAATTCATTCAAGGATAACTAAGGCTTCACCATGGAACAAAAGAGGAATCAAACCAAGGTCAAAGCCTATGCAGAACATAAACTTGCTACTTACTTTATCATCAATGGTGTCAATCTTAGTCAGCACTACTCCGTCAATCAGTGGAGGTTGATCCATGTCTCAATGGTGTGCTCGATTGATTGCCTGGTCCACTGCTTCGTTACCACCCAAATAACTCCCCAACCAAGAGAACTAACTCAGACTGGTTATTTTCGATCAGCTGTTTTGAGCAAAAATAACAAAACAGGAATAACAGTAATCATAAGGAAATGAAACATTTTCTATCTTTGTGCAGTTCTCTCTTGAAGGCAATAAATTGAATTCTGTTTTTTACATCATGTTTCTACAGTGGAAGCTACGGCAACAGTTGAAAATCAGTTACAACGAGTTGCAATACGACAGCTGTTTCTTGCAGCGTGTTCTTGAAAGCGTGTTTGGCAATTAAAACGTGTAATTTGTGATTTTTTTTAATTTCATTTCAACCAGCAAACTAGTGCTCAAAATCTAAACAAGGATGCTTAATAACTAACCTGATGAAGTTTTGGCTCTATGAATGCTCTATATTTCGAGAAAACTGAACAAACATAACCACAATATATTTTGAATCTCAAATGCCAAAGTTGTCGAGTCATATTTTGAATTGCGCCCTCTCATGACACATTCCCCAACTCAGCATTTGGGACATGATTCTCATTCAGCCGGTTTCACATATTTGTGGATGCTCCAATTGAAAACCAAGAACAAACTGAACTGTTAAACACTGCCCAGTTAAGTTAGGAATATATGTCTATGTAGAACAAAGGTTCACAAAATTAATTCCCTTCCAGTACAATCAACGATTATGTTAAAAAATGTATCTTTAATAGTGTGATAAATTTCAGTAAACATTCTATGTGCGCAAAAAAGTTATTTCTGATTTGATGACATCATCAGTCAAAAGCGGTATTAAGTGAATACTGATAAAGTTCAGAGAGGATACATTTCATTGTGAAGTGAAAATAACGTATGAAAATATGGGAAATATAATTGTTTGTATTAATAACACCTAACTTCCGGTTTGATGACGTCACAGCATTAGAGTTATCCAAACGTGAACATTGTAATGGATATCATTACTTGGACTACGAAGACATGACAGGGATCAAATGATATAAGATTTGAGGCTTTGCATGGTGGGGTATCGGTATCGTTTCGGTTTGCGGTAACACCATGTGGTAATAACTACTGCTTAGAAGATACTAGTTCTGAGAAGAACTTGTCCTGCTTATTATCAACTTTGCTAAGTAGTTTTTTGTTCTGTTTAGAACAACAGGGATCAAATGATAGAATTAAATTAAATATATGATCCTTTTCAAATTCTAAAATTAAAGAAAGAAAACTCTATTTGATGTGCCGCTAGGGGGCGCCCTTTCGGATGATGATGTCATCACACTTTTTTTGTGTCTGGTATTCCTCACTTTCATAATATGTGTATAGTAAAATACTTCCACTTCTGACTTGCATTCAGTTTTTATTGCACTTCCGGTAACAGCGGAAGTGAAGGTCAAGCGGTTTTGTGTCTGGAACAAGAAATGTTTCTCACGGCATAGTCTACAACCTCACAAAAAACGCACATGATACTATATGTAGTTCAAAAGATACAGCGCAAACTATTTTGTCAGAATTTGCCCTGAAATTGCTTGTAACTTGATACTTGATGACGTCATGATGACGTAACAAAATTTAGAACATCTTCGTAACATGGTATAAGTTCACACTAGGTTTCTGGATCATACTGTGACGAAAATGCCCCCAAATCCCACTTTTTACTTAAGTTTTATTACTCTAAGTCTTACATATGTCCTCCTAGAGATCTGGCATTTTTGTCTAGAAAATTCCTGTTGTCTTTACAGGTATTTTTGAGTATTTTCCTGCTGAAATTCTGTGTGTACACTCACGTGTTTGTTTACACATGTCAGCTGTGCTATAAATAGTGTGATGGTAAAATCCAACATGGCTGCCATTTGAGCAGCGCTTAAAACGTTTGTGATTGGCTGAAAGTTCTAAAATTATTTCTAGCAAACTGAGACTTCTAATATGTAATTTATATTATTAGAACGTTTTACTAAATAATTACGAAGCTTCTTTAGATGTGAAGTTGTCTAATTTGAATCAACTTTGAAAGTTGGGCAAGTTTTGATGACTTTTCTGTCAGATTTCGTCTGGTAAGTCACAGCCTCGACTCCATGGGCGCCTGCACATTCCTTCACTAACCCCTGGACGTGATGTACACATAAATGATGCTGATTGGCTTTTCAGAGCGTACTGCGCATGCAATACGAAGATTGATACATTTAATACAAATCTTTGCTAAATAACGCAATGTCCAATGTTTAACATTTTAAAGATGGCGTCGGCACGTCAAACGGATAAACTTCTGCCTAATTACCGTATAATGTGCCACATTTTGATACATTTAAATTACACAATTCCAGGGGTTAAGATCGCACAAGGCATGATGGGAAGCAACATGGCGCAGAAAGATCTCGTACCCATGGGAACAAGGTTGGGTAAGTCAGTGACTGTCTCATGATTATTCATATCTGTGACATCACTGAATTTTCTTCAATGAACTTAAAGGGAATATACATCATTTGCTTTTGCTGTAATTTTCAGAAATGAATGGAATTGGGGGGTTTGGAAATATATAGCAAATATAGTTACACTGACCTTTTGAGGTTTTGGGTTAAAAAATGCTATAAAAACCAAGAAAAAAATCGTTTTCCTGTAGTCTGGTTCCCTGACTCCATATAAGAAGAAAGAGAGCAGTTTACATACATTGGGGAATTGTAAGGTCAGAGAACCAGTCTAGCTGGCTTGTACCCGTTCATAGGTTTGTAATTGATTGCAAACAAGTGCGATGGTCAATTGGGGCCAGTATTTGGAAAAAAGCCAGTTTTTTCCAACGCTGGTCGGCCGACCAGCGTTGGAAATTGATACAAGAATACCACTTTTCTTGAAAATGACAGTATACCAGGTGCCATGATTTTACAGGATGCTTTACACTGTCATTCACTAACAGTCCAGCAAGGTATTTCAAAATGATTTGGTAGTTTTATTTTTTGATGTTTGCAAATGTTGTATATTCCCTTTAAGGTTTGTTTACATTCATTCACTACTTGTAAAAGTGAGCATTTGGGGGATTCTGTATAATTTGTTCACATGTTTACAACAGATTTACTGTAAGGAATGTCTTGAAGATTAATTTAAGCCTTTGTGTGTGATATTTTGCTGTATAATTTTGGGGAAATTTAGGGGAAACTATCGCTGTGTGAATTCAGTATACTGTGATTTTTACAAAATGGGCGTGGCCTATTTACTAGCGCGTAGTTTTGATTTTCGCGCTGAGCCAATAGGGTATAAATAGGGCAGATTTTGTTCATTCTGGGCACGGTTCTTTGATGGGTGTTGGTCTACTGCTAGCTGCGAACTCTACTGCTGATCTCTAACTGTACTTTACACATAGTGCTTTGGCCAGTTTGGGGAGCTGAGATACTTAGAGAATATGTCATCTTTACAACTTGAGTTGGGGGAGCCAACTTGATGAAATTGGGGAGCTGAGCTGAGCTGGGCAGCAAAGTTTTGGGGAGAAAAACTTTGGGGAGCCAGAGTCGGAGAGCGGATATCTAGACAGTTAGTAACTGTGATTTACATTAGTTGTAGCTGATATCTTTAATTATTAAGACTCTGACAGGAGTCAGGGGATCTTGAGATATATTTGGAGTCAGGCTGCTGAGTCGGATTTCATCGAGGAATATCAAGAGAGGCCTGGGGCCTAAGTGTATTTTGTTGAGAAGATTTTATTGCCCGACCACTCAATTAGAACACATGGGGGGGGGGAATCACAGAAATTTAAAAAAATGTATCACTTGCAAATGTTTGCAAATTGATAGAATGCGAGAAGGTTGTCACCCATTTGTGCATTCCCAAATTGCAAACCAAGTGCAATTAGAGTGCATTGGGAGGGGGGGGGGGGGAATTTACAGAAATTTCCAAAAATGTGTCACATGACACATCTTTGGAAATGATCTTTTCTTTTCTTCAAATTGACAGCATCTCAGAAAGTTGTCAACTATTCGTGGATAACAAACTAAATACAAAAATTAGAACATATGGCGGGATTTACAGAAATGTCCATTGACACAATGGGGAAGGGGGCCAGATTCACAGAATTTTCCTTAATAACTCCTATGAACATCTATGGAAATTAACAGCATGCAAGGTTTGGACCCATTCGTGGATTCCCCAATTGCAAACCAAGTACAAATTAGAAGCATGGGGGAGGAGCCAATTCACAGAAATTTTCAAAAATGTGTCACTTGACAAATCTTTGGAAATGTTCTTCTTTTGTTTTCTTCAAATTGAGCGCATCGCAGAAAGTTGTCAACCATTCCAGGATTCCCCAATTACGAACTAAGTACAAATTGGAACGCATTCGGTAGGTGGCAGATTCACAGAAATTTCCAAAAAAGTGTCACTTGACACATCTTTGGAAAGGATCTTATTTTGTTTTCTGCAAATTGACCGCATGCCAGAAGGTTGTCAACCATTCGTGAATTAAGTACAAATTAGAACACATAGGGGAGTAGAAGGATTCACAGAAATTTCCAAAAATGTGTCACTTGACACACATTTGGAAACTGATAGCATGCGAGAAGGTTGTCACTCATTTGTAAATCCCCCGAATGCAAACAGAGTACAAATTAGAGCACATGGGGGGATTAACAGAAATTTCCAAAAATGTGTCGCTTGACACATCTTTGGGGGGGGGGGAATTAGAACACATGGGGGGGGGGGGCAGATAAACAGAAATTTCCACAAATGTGCCTCTTGACGCATGTTTGGAAATTGACGTCATGCAAGGTTGTCACTCATTCGTGGATCCCCCAATTGCAAACCAATTACAAATTAGAATGCATGGGGGAGGGGCGGATTTACAGAAATTTCCATAAAATGCGTCACTTGACATACGTTTGGAAATTGGCAGCATGCGAGAAGGTTGTCACCCATTTGTGCATTCCCAAATAGGTCTTGTAAAATGACATCATTTCCTACAGACCAGCCGCGTGCATCAACATGCTGAGCATCCAACTGCATAACGACTTTCGGCCGCGTCGAAATTCAAAAAACATTTCAAGCAATAAGCGCACGTTTGGAACATTTTCAACACTGCGCAATGCATGATATATTGCGTAAAATACGCAGTTGCAGCTCTCCTACAGATTTGGACGTCATTGAGCAAGCCCTATTGCAAACCAAGTACAAATAGCAATGCATAGGGGGGGGGGGACCAATTCACAGACATTTCCAAAAATGTGTCTCTTGACACATGTTTGGAAATAGTAATAATAATCATAATAATGAACATTTATAAGGCGCCGATATCCGCCAAGCAAGATGCTCATGGTGCACAATACATACAAAACAATTACAGTATAAATTAAGTTAAATTTGAATAACAGAAAGTAGTGACAGAAGTAATAAACATCAACTCATTAAACACAAAAACGTGAGGTAAACATATGAGTTTTCACAGAAGATTTAAATACAGACAATGATGATGACTGGCGAATTTCAAGGGGTAGATTGTTCCAGAGTTCGGGAGCGGTGATTGAGAAAGACCGGTCTCCCCAAGAGTGATTGGTGCGGGGAACAGTAAGCTGTAGTGCTCCGGCCGAACGAAGTCTACTTGACGGCTGATATTTCGAGATAATGTCCGTTATATAGTCCGGTGAAGTTCCTTGTAGTGACTTCAAAGCGAGAAGGAGGATCTTGAAGGCAATGTGATCAGTGATGGGGAGCCAGTGAAGGGACTTTAAGACAGGGGTGATATGAGTGGTGCGTCTGGATAAGGTGATGAGGCGAGCAGTGGCATTTTGGAGGCGTTGAAGTTTGTTGATTTGGTGTTGTGGCAGGTTATACATGAGGGAATTACAAAAATCTAAGCGCGAAGTTATAAATACATGGACGAGTTGCTCAGTGGCTGTACGATTTAGATACTTCCAAATAAAGCCAAGATAACGGAGATGAAATCTGACTGATTTTGACACTGCTGATATCTGATCAATGTGGGACATGTGGGGGTCGAAAGTGACACCTAGGTTGCGACACTTGCTGGAAGGGTGGATGTGACAATCTCCAGTGCTAATGCTGGTGATATTGAACTTGGCGAGTTGTTGTTTTGAGCCACACAGGATAAATTCAGACTTGTTGTCATTCAATTTGAGACTGTTTGTCATCATCCATGTCTTGATCTCATCAATGCAAGCCTCAAGATTCTCCGGGGCAGACACAGCATTGGGTTGAGATGGATTGAAGGATTGATACAGCTGTATGTCATCAGCATAGCAATGATATAGGTTGTGTTTCTGGATGATCTGGCCGAGTGGTAAAATGTAGATGGTGAATAACATTTGAGCCAAAATATTTTGTCAATTTTGTTATTTCTTTTTTCACTTTTGTTGCATTTTGTTTCAGTTCATCACCATCATCAATGATTTGTCATTTATTTTTTATTATAAATACTCCATGGTGATTAATAATAACCATTGTAAAATCATGAAGAAATAAATAAAACAAGATTATTCTACACAAATATTTGTTTTGCTTCATCCACAACTGAATGGAACATACCATCTTTGGAAGCACCAGACTAATCAGTCTCAATGATGATGTGCTTCGGGTGTTTCACATGGGATACGAGCAATTTCTTTCCACTCGACGCGTAGTTGATAGTGTCGTTGCAAACATTGCAAAAAACCTTGCCAGCGGTTGCTATTTTATCGAAAACACTCTTGAAATTCATGCTGATGCCCGTCAATAATAACGGAGTCCCGAAACCATTCCCACCGGAACTTATTTTTCACTTTTTTATCAAGCTCTCGCACTGATTTATCTCCTTTCGACAATATTGACTTGTTGGGTGCAGCCATGTTGGAAGCATCCGTACACGTCGCGTACACAAACACTCGACGCACATGAAACAACGTGCATAATCCACACGATTGCCCTGTACTGTATGCTGTTGTGCACGCTGAGCAATATTAGTCTGTACACCTGAAACAGCGCAACATGTGCATCTTGGGTACCGACACAGGAACTAGACCTAAATAATCACAACCTCGGACCCGAGCGAAAAATCACATGATCGCGCTAACGGCAACGCATGGTCTTCAACCTCGTTCTCACGATTCACGTTGGTGGACTTTTGAACCGCAAAAAATGGATTTCCGGAAAAAACCCGGAGAAATCACATGCCTGAGTACTCGGCAGTACTCGGTACTCAGAAAAAAGTACTCGACTACAACACTGGCAACACTGCATCGGGCTGACAGATGGTTGCCTTCAATCTCAGCGCACAAGAGATTCAAATCAATGCTGTGGAGGATGCGATGGATAACCATGTCTCACAGATACCACTGGTGCTGGAGGAACATCCAATTGTTACCAGCAGAAGGTGTGATCTACTAGTCACAAAAGATACCTGACGTCTTGGTGCGCAGAAAACCTGCTAAAGCCCCAAATGCACAGGAAAGGCAGGAAAAACTCCCTTAAAATGCTCCCAAACCAGATGATGTTACATATATTCTGGCTCACCATGTTGATCAGTTTGTGCTAAAGTTCAACTTGACATGAAGACATGACTGGAAACACAGCTAAGAAAGAGGAAATCAGTACATTGGTGGAGAGCATGATGAGGAGCCGCCAGTTAGTAGCGTTGCACTCTATTACATTACTCAGGTCAATACAACAATCAACAGCCACACAGTAGCAACAGCTGTTTGACAATGCCTGCCACTTGCAGACAATACTTTATAAGGTCAATACAACAATCAACAGCCACACAGTAGCAACAGCTGTTTGACAATGCCTGCCACTTGCAGACAATACTTGTTTTACTGATGGTAAAATCCAACATGGCTGCCATTTGAGCGGCGCTTAAAATGTTTTTGATTGGCTGAAAGTTCTAAAATTATTTCTAGCAAACTGAGACTTCTAAAAAGTACTTTATATTAACAATCAACAGCCACACAGCAGCCACAGCTGTTTGACAATGCCTGCCACTTACAGACAATACTTTATCAGGTCAATACAACAATCAACAGCCACACAGTAGCAACAGCTGTTTGACAATGCCTGCCACTTACCAACTTTGATCCAAACAAAACTGTCATTGTCGCAAGAGGGCGCAATTTTGTTTCTTTATAATTAATATTCATTAAAAAGTGACGTGTCCCAGAAACCAAAACTTTTTCTTAAGTCGAACCTGGTTTGTGACAGTCATCAAATCCTTGGATACAAAAAGAGGGGCCAATCATCACCAAGCAACTACGGACCAGTTTCCCTCACGTGGGTAGCCTGCAAATTACTGGAACATATCTTTAATCACTTGTGTGAAACCCAACTCATAAACACCATGGAAGAAATCCATCGACACCGAGATCAAAATAACAAAGCTCAGATAGATGTGCAGGTGCTTGACTTCAGCAAAGCATTCGACACTGTAGCCCATGAGAGATTACTTCATAAAATAGAACACTACGGGATTAGAGGTAACACCTTGACATGGATCAGAACATGGTTAACCAACAGAACCCAACAAGTAGTTGTAGATGGAGAAACATCAGACCCTACATCAGTTACATCAGGAGTCCCCCAATGACATTGGTGACAACATTAGCAAAGACACCAAAATCAAGTTATTTGCTGATGACTGCCTACTATTCCGACGCATTGCTAACTTCAATGACCAACAACAACTCCAAAAAGATCTGGATAGCCTTGTAAGCTGGTCTCATCAATGGCAGATGTCATTTAAGCCACAGAAATGTCACACCCTGCATATGACAAGAAGCAAAAATCATCATGATAATATCTACAGATTGATGAATGGCAACCTTTCTGTTGTACCCAACCATCCATACCTTGGAGTTGAAATTCAAAAAGATTTGTCATGGTCTCTTCACATCAATCAAATAGCAAGCAGAGCTAATACAACACTTGGTTTTGTGAGCCTATGCCTCCAACACTGCAGAACAGTCAGCAGGGTCACTATGCTTTACCGCTCCATCCATGAAGAAATTGCCCTTAACATCCCTTATTACATCACCCCAGTAGAACGACCACAAAGAAATAGACATAATCAGTGCTACGCTTCCTTGCAATGCCGCACACAAGTGTACCACAAAAGTTTGTTCCCAAAGACGATTGAAGACTGAAACGAGCTCCCAAATGATCTTATTCATCAAACATCATCATCCCAATTTAAGATATCCCTAGGAAAAACATCTTTCATCACAACCTTAATTTCACACTTGCACGGCACCGGCGTGAAGTCAAACTGCATGATGATGCCTAGCAGCGATATCCAGTCAACTTTCTGAAATTCTGTCATCACATTCTTAAATTTGTGAATGTCACGATTCAACCATCCTTTTTTACCAGACTACCTCTCAAACTGAATTGACATTGCATGACTGGACATGGCGTCGCGTTATCGTCACCTGGGGGTACAAAGACTCAGGGTCAATAGAACAGAGGATCAAGCAGAGGATATGAACCAAAAACTGTTCAATTCATTCAAGGATAACTAAGGCTACAACATGGAACAAAAGAGGAATCAAACCAAGGTCAAAGCCTATGCAGAACATAAACTTGCTACTTACTTTATCATCAATGGTGTCAATCTTAGTCAGCACAACTCCGTCAATCAGTGGAGGTTGATCCATGTCTCAATGGTGTGCTCGATTGATTGCCTGGTCCACTGCTTCGTTACCACCCAAATAACTCCCCAACCAAGAGAACTAACTCAGACTGGTTGATTTCAATCAGCTGTTTGAACAAAAATAACAAAACAGGAATAACAGTTAATCATAAGGAAATGAAACATTTTCTATCTTTGTGCAGTTCTCTCTTGAAGGCAATAAATTGTATTCTGTTTTCTACATTGTGTTTCTACAGTGGAAGCTACGGCAACAGTTGAAAATCAGTTACATCGAGTTGCAACAAGGATGCTTAATAACTAACCTGATGAAGTTTTGGCTCTATGGATGCTCTATATTTCGAGAAAACTGAACAAACATAACCACAATATTCTGAATCTCAAATGCCAAAGTTGCCGAGTCATATTTTGAATTGCGCTCTCTCATGACACATTCCCAAATCAGCATTGGGACATGATTCTCATTCAGCCGGTTTCACCCATTTGTGGATGCTCCAATTGAAAACCAAGAACAAACTGAACTGTTATACACTGCCCAGTTAAGTTAGGAATATATGTCTATGTAGAACAAAGGTTCACGAAATTAACTCCCTTCCAGTACAATCAATGATTATGTTAAAAAAATGTATCTTTAATAGTGTGATAAATTTCAGTAAACATTCTATGTGCGCAAAAAAGTTATTTCTGATTTGATGACATCATCGTTCAAAAGCGGTTAGTGAATACTGATAAAGTTCAGAGAGGATACCTTTTCATTGTGAAGTGAAAATAACGTATGAATATATGGGAAATATAATTGTTTGTATTAATAACACCTAACTTCCGGTTTGATGACGTCACAGCATTAGAGTTATCCATACATGAACATTGTAATGGATATCATTACTTGGACTACGAAGATATGACAGGGATCAAATGATAGAATTAAATTGAAAATATGATCCTTTTCAAATTCTAAAATTTAAGAAAGCAAACTCTATTTGATGTGCCGCTAGGGGGCGCCCTTTCGCATGATGACGTCATCACACTTTTTTGTGTCTGGCATTCCTCACTTTCATAATATGTGTGTAGTAAAATGCTTCCGCTTTTGAGTTATATTTGGTTTTTATTGCACTTCCGGTAACACCGGAAGTGAAGGTCATGCGGTTTTGTGTCCGGGAACAGGAACCGTTTTTCACAGCATAGTCTACAACCTCACTAAAAAACGAACACGATACTCTATTTAGTTCAAAAGATACAGTGCCATCTATTTTGTCAGAATTTTCCATGAAATTGCTTGTAATTTGATACTTGATGACGTCATGATGACGTAACAAAATTTAGGACATCTTCGTAACATGGTACAAGTTCACAATTTCTGGAAAATGCACCCAAATCCCACTTTTTACGTAAGTTTTATTACTCTAAATCTTACCTATATCCTCCTAGAGATCTGGCATTTTTGTCTAGAAAATTCCTGTTGTCTTTTTAGTATTATTTCTAGGTAGTTTTGAGTATTTTCCTGCCGAAATTTAGTGTGTACACTCACGTGTTTGTTTACACATGTCAGCTGTGCTATAAATAGCGTGATGGTAAAATCCAACATGGCTGCCATTTGAGCGGCGCTTAAAATGTTTCTGATTGGCTGAAAGTTCTAAAATTATTTCTAGCAAACTGAGACTTCTAAAAAGTAATTTATATTATTAGAACATTTTACTAAATAATTATGAAGCTTCTTTAGATGTAAAGTTGTCTAATTTGAAGCAATTTGCAAGCCGTGATGTACACGTAAACGATGCTGACTGGCTTTTCAGAGCGTACTGCGCACACCTTTCCAAGATTGATACATTTAATACAAATCTTCGCTAAATAACGCAATGTCCAAACCTTATGTTTAAAAGGATGGATTCTTCAAAATCACAACTTTTAACATTTTAAAGATGGCGTCGGCACGTAAAACTGCTGCCTAATTATGTGCCACATTTTGATACATTTAAATTACACAATTCCAGGGGTTAAGATCGCGCAAGGCATGATGGGAAGCAACATGGCGCAGAAAGATCTCGTACCCATGGGAACAAGGTTGGGTAAGTCAGTGATTGTCTCATGAATATTCATATCTGTGACATCACTGAATTTTCTTCAATGAACTTAAGGTTTGTTTACATTCATTCACTACTTGTAAAAGTGAGCATTTGGGGGATTCTGTATAATTTATTCACACTTTTACAACAGATTTACTTTAAGGAATGTCTTGAAGATTAATTTAAGCCTTTTTGTGTGATATTTTGCTGTATAATTTTGGAGAAATTGAGGGGAAACTATCGCTATGTGAATTCAGTATACTGTGATTTTTACAAAATGGGCATGGCCTATTTACTAGCGTGTACTTTTGATTTTCGCGCTGGGCCAATAGGGTATAAATAGGGCAGATTTTGTTCATTCTGGGTACGGTTCTTTGATGGGTGTTGGTCTACTGCTAGCTGCGAACTCTACTGCTGATCTCTAACTGTAGTTACACATAGTGCTTTGGCCAGTTTGGGGAGCTGAGATCTTTACAACTTGAGTTGGGGGAGCCAACTTGATTAAATTGGGGAGCTGAGCTGAGCTGGGGAGCAAAGTTTTGGGGAGCAAAGTTTTGGGGAGAAAAACTTTTGTGGAGCCAGAGTCGGAGAGCGGATATCTAGACAGTTAGTAACTGTGATTTACATCAGTTGTAGCTGATATCTTTAATTATTAAGACTCTGACAGGAGTCAGGGGATCTTGAGATATATTTGGAGTCAGGCTGCTGAGTCGGATTTCATCAAGGAATATCAAGAGAGGTCTGGGGCCTATTAGATTTTATTGCCCGATCACTCAATTAGAACACATTTGAGGGGGGGGGGGGGGAATCACAGAAATTAAAAAAAATGTATCACTTGACACATGTTTGGAAATTGATAGAATGCGAAAAGGTTGTCACCCATTTGTGCATTCCCAAGTTGCAAACCAAGTGCAATTAGAGTGCATGGGGAGGGGGGATTTACAGAAATTTCCAAAAATGTGTCACATGACACATCTTTGGAAATGATATTTTCTTTTCTTCAAATTGACATCATGTCAGAAAGTTGTCAACCATTCATGGATAACAAACTAAATACAAAAATTAGAACATATGGGGGGATTTACAGAAACTTCCATTGACACAATGGGGAAGGGGGCCAGATTCACAGAATTTTCCTTAATAACTCCTATGAACATCTATGGAAATTAACAGCATGCAAGGTTCGGACCCATTTGTGGATTCCCAAATTGCAAACCAAGTACAAATTAGAAGCATGGGGGAGGAGCCAATTCACAGAAATTTTCAAAAATGTGTCACTTGACACGCAAGAAGGTATGCAAGAAGGTTGTCATTCATTTGTGGCTTCCCAAATTGTAACAACGCATTGGGAGATTTACAAAAATTTCCAAAACTGTGTCACATGACAAATCTTTGGAAATGATCTTCTTTTGTTTTCTTGAAAGCATGGCAGAAAGTTGTCAACCATTCGAGGATTCCCCAATTGCAAACTAAGTACAAATTGGAACGCATTCGGGAGGTGGCAGATTCACAGAAATTTCCAAAAAGGTGTAACTTGACACATCTTTGGAAAGGATCTTATTTTGTTTTCTGCAAATTGACAGCATGCCAGAAGGTTGTCAACCATTCGTGAATTAAGTACAAATTAGAACACATAGAGGAGTAGGAGGATTCACAGAAATTTCCAAAAATGTGTCACTTGACACACGTTTGGAAGCTGATAGCATGCGAGAAGGTTGTCACTCATTTGTAAATCCCCCGAATGCAAACCAAGTACAAATTAGAGCACATGGGGGATTTACAGAAATTTCCAAAAATGTGTCACTTGACATATTATTTGGGGGGGGGGGATTAGAACACATGGGGGGGGGCAGATAAACAGAAATGTCCACAAATGTGCCTCTTGACACATGTTTGGAAATTGACATCATGCAAGGTTGTCACTCCTTCGTGGATCCCCCAATTGCAACCAATTACAAATTAGAATGCATGGGGGAAGGGCGGTTTCACAGAAATTTCCAAAAATGTGTCACTTGACAAACATTTGGAAATTGGCAGCATGTGAGAAGGTTGTCACCCATTTTTACATTCCCCAATAGGTCTTGTAAAATGAAGTCATTTCCTACAGACCAGCCTCATGCATCAACATACTGAGCATCCAATTGCATAATGCGTATCGGCCGCGTCGAAATTCGAAAAACATTTCAAGCAATAAGAGCACATGTTTGGAACATTTTCAACACTGCGCAATGCATGATATATTGCGTAAAATACGCAGTAATAAACATCAACTTGTTTAAAACACAAAAACGTGAGGTAAACATATGAGTTTTCACAGAAGATTTAAATACAGACAATGATGATGACTGGCGAATCACAAGGGGTAGATTCCGGCCGAACGAAGTCTACTTGATGGCTGATATTTAGAGATAATGTCTGTTATATAGTCCGGTGAGGTTTCTTGTAGTGACTTGAAATCGAGAAGGAGGATCTTGAAGGCAATGTGATCAGCGATGGGGAGCCAGTGAAGGGACTTTAAGACGGGGGTGATATGAGTGGTGCGTCTGGATAAGGTGATGAGGCGAGCAGTGGCATTTTGGAGGCATTGAAGTTTGTTGATTTGGTGTTGTGGCAGGTTATACATGAGGGAATTACACAAATCTAAGCGCGAAGTTATAAATGCAAACCACTGCAAGGCTGCATCGTGCACTCCCAAAGAGTGCAAGCGACTGATCAGGATGGCGTGATCTATGGTGTCAAATGCTGATGACAGATCAAGAAGCACAAGGGCCGTTACTTTGCCAACATCCATCTGTCGTAGGATGTGGTCGCGGACAGATGAACAAGTAATGTTTCTACACTATGGTTCTGACGATATGGTATAGGGTCCAAGTCACATGATTTGGCTGGGGATTTGAAGATGACAGTGCAAATCTCATCTTGAGAGGCGAAACGGAGACTGGTCAGTGTAGTTTGTGTTGGCGGGGTGGGGGTAGAAGTATCTGTATCTGGCACAAGGGGAGGTAGTGCATCACGAATCAAAGAAATCTTGGACGTGAAAAAACGCT